GTATTAATGTCTGTCACTTTGTAAACAAACCCCAAAACCCCAAAACCCCAAAACCCCATAAGAATAATCTTAATGTAAAATTCGAGATTAGTATATCTTAAGAAATCAATCATCAATTCTGCCAATTAATGGGTTGTAATCCCTTTGAGACTAAAAATTCATTCGCTTGAGAGAAATTCTTGCAGTCTCCGAAGCCTTTACCAGCAAGTGGTGATGGGTGACTGTACTCCAGCACACAATGCCTATAGGATTGATTATAATTGAAAATTATTATGCTTACTTTTGCCTGTTAACTTTGCCTGCTTTTTCCTGAGCCTTGCCACCCCAAAGCATGAATACAACACCACTGTGCCTATTGTTAATTCCTTGGATTACTGCATCAGTGAACTACTCCCAGCCTTTCTTTTGATGCGAGTTTGATACTCCTTCTTGCACTGTCAAAATAGCATTCAACATTAATACTCCCTAACTTGCCCATGCGCTAAGATCTCCATGAATAGGACTAGGAGTCTTGAATTGAACTTTAGGGTCATTCTCAAGAGCTTTGTATATGTTCTTGAGACTTGGTGGGACCTTAACACCTTTAGGAATAGAGAAGCAAAGACCCATTGCTTCTCCAGGTTTAATGTATGGATCTTAGCCTACCAGGACTACCTTCAAGTCTTTGAACTGTACATGCTTGAAAGCATTGAAAATCAACTCTTTTGGCGGGTAGATCGGCTTCTTACTGGTCTCATACTCACCCTTCACAAACTGATATACCTGTTTAAAAGCTGGTGTTTTTAGATAGTCTCCTAGACAGTCTTACCAATCACCTAGCTCACCGACAAAACTTTCATAGGAATTAAGACAGTCCCCTCCGTTTAATGCCTAATATTGTTATACTTAGTTTTTGAATCTAAATTGACCAGATCTGTTGTCAATACTGATCAGAACATTGACTTACTGATGATAGTTGATTTTATTTTTGATGGTTAGTGTCAACAGTGTTGGCTACTGTTTGTATAGCACTTTTTTCTTCCTCATCCACTTAAACACTCTTCTTCTCAGACTTTGCCCTTTATTTAGATATCTTGGCTTAATCTTCATTGGGCTGAATATTCAACTTCTAATCAATAAATGAGAGATTAATAAATGCCATTATACTTATATTTTTATCTTAAACTAACCCTCATCTTCGATGTTTCTGGCTGATCTTCTGATAGGTTCTGATCCAACAATGCTTCCTTAGCAGTTCTCTTCTTGCTACCTAATATTAAGTTTCATAGGTCATTTTGATTGAATAAATCTACTTTTAGCAGAAGCTTGAGCTTTTTAAGTTTTACTTGCTTTTTCCATTTGTTTAGATTGATATATTTTAGATTTAATTTGAACTGCTCTAAAGATATAAAAATGATAGCCAATGAGGGGTTTTGGGGTTTTGGGGTTTTGGGG